CTTCTGCGGGGGAGGCCGGAGGAACTGTTCCCCGTGCCTTCCGAACCAGTTGTGGTCTGGGGGTCGGGGCGCAGAGGCGCTCTCTCAGCAAGGGCTCAAGTCCCCCGAGGATTTGGGCGCCCTTGCCCCTCGGGGCACCCTCTCCGAGGCCCATCGCGAGCTCTTGCTCCGCCCGGTTTGCCCCCAGAGGGGGTACCCTGCTGGATGAAGCTGTGCGCCGCGGCAGGGCCGTCCTTCTGCCCAGGGCGGAGCGGCTTGCGGCGCGCCCTCGTCCCTTGCCGGCGCTGCTGCCTTTGTGGCCCAAGGTGCCCGGCACCCCGGCGCCCCCGCCAGCGCGGCAGAAGCGCCTGGTCTCGCAAAGACAAGTCGGGGCGGCAGAGCGGCGCCTCGCCACCTTGGCGTTGGTCAGGGGGAGCCCCGCGCCTCCGCAGCGTCTTGCAGTTGCTTCTTTGCGGGACCAGGAGCGGGCTCAGATGGGCGCTGTCCTGGCGTGTGGCATAGCGTTCTTCCAGGCCTTGGGCCCGTGGTCTCCGCGGTACCTCGCCATGTACCCCAACGGCCACCACGGGGCCCCCAGCCCCTCGCAGGACGCCGTTGCTTTGCAGCTCTCCGTCATCCAAGCTGGCAACACGGCGCAAGGCCGAGGGCGTCATAGCGCATTTGCTCTCCCTGGACCTCAACCTGGAGGCTGTCTCCGAGTGGCCTTTGGCGGCTTTCCTCCTGGACTTCCACCGGCGGGGCAAGAACGTGCGCGAGCAGCACCGAACAGTTATTTGGGCCACGACAGTTTGCGCTCTTAACTGGCCAGTCAACGACCCACTGATCCTCGTCTAGCGGGACATGACGGTGGACCCTCCTGACAAGGCCGCCCAGCCTCAGCAGGCGTTGTGCCCCACTTTGGACATGCTCCGCTCCATGGAAAAGCTCGTCGGGCACGCGCCCAACCCGGTGCTGCAGATTTTCGCCGGCTTCTTCTGCCTCCTGGCGCACGGGTGCTTGCGTGCCTCGGACGCGCAGCATAATTAGCCAGGACTTGTACCTGTCCAGGGACGCACTCATGGGCACCAGTTGGCGAATCAAGAGGAAGCGCCTTCCCATCCTGTGGGCAGCCTTGCGGGGGGGCCTCAGCGGCGTCCATTGGGCAGAGCCCTGGCTGCAGCTTTTGGGCGAGCATGATATTCCTGGCCCCGACATTCTGGTATTGTCGCCCACAGCGGATCTTACGTCCTTTACCGGCCGTGCTGCCAGTTATCCCCACTTTTCGGCTGCCCTGCGTTGCCTCCTGATGTTGCGCGGGCTGCTGGCGGAGGAGACTTTCAGGTATACGCCGCACAGCTGGCGCCATCTCTACCCCACCATGGGCAGGCAGTTGCAGTTGCCGGACGAACAGCTCAACGAGATCGGGCACTGGAGCGCCAAATCGGGCATGCCGCGCCACTACGACTCCACAGCTTGTGTGGCGGAGTTGGCAGCAAAGGCGTCAGTGCTCTCGGCCGTGCGCTCGGGCTGGCGCCCAGTGGGCCCTGGCGTGGTCCCGTTACCTAACCCGGGGACTCCTGCGCTTGCCGCCGCCGCCCCCGCTGCGCCTGTGGCTGCGCCACCCGACAGGCAGCCCCCGACATCAGACGTGGCGGGGCCCGCGCCCAAGCGGAGGCGGAGCTCCAGGGCTTCGCCGGCGACCCGCTCCGACCTCCCGACCTTGCCGCCCCTCCCGTGGGTGGTCCATAGGGCCACCGATCGACGGCACCGTTCCGTGCAGGATGGCTCAGCTGCGTGTGGAACGTGGAAATGCGGGCAGCCCGGCGCAGCGGACGGCGCCGTGTTCATCCTCGACGCTGCGGACTTCATCGCCGAGCACGAGCAGGCGATGCAGGCGTCTTGGTGCAGAAGGTGTTCATGCGCGACATTTATATCGATCCGGGGGTGCGAGGATGACGGTATCCATCTGGGGCGTCTCCAGTCGCGAACGAGGCCTTCACGGCGTGCTTCTTCATCTTCTTCCTCATGTTCGAGCTCCTCGTCCTCATCGGCAGCCTCTCTTGCCGCCGATTGCGCTCGTCCCTCCGCCAGGGCGCAGGTCTAGTGCGGATTGTCTGCGGTGCGCGGCGGCTTTCTGGGTGCGCTCCCTTCCAGTGCACCCAGTTCGTCGTTTCGGGCAGCCGTCCTCTCCCTGGCACGATCGCTTGCCCCGGGGGCAGCAGTTCCCCCGCGCGTGCACCTAGGGGCTACGTTGCGATGCTGCCCTGCCCTGGGGGTGGCCTTGCGGATGGCAGGAACCGTTCTGCACCTTCGCACCGCCCCGCGGGTTGGGTCATCCAGCAATGTTAACCTTGACCCCATCCGCCATCGGCCGAGAGGGGCAGAAATTCGAGATGATGGTGAGTGCGGTCAATGACATCGGCATCATCATTGTCCATCACCTCCCTTCCTCCCTTTCCTGCCCCTCTGTCCTTTCCTCCTTTCCCACCCTCGCACTTTGCTCGTCGACGGGGCCGCCAGGCCTGGGTCTGGCATGGTTAATGGGCCCTGTATGAGCTGGAGTGCGGGGTGAGGCTGGCGGGGAAGGCGTGGTCGAGGGTGGGTTTGGAAGCCGAATCATGCTTTCCCCGAGGTCCCGCAGGGACATGTGAACATTCTAGAACCGCGCTTCCCAGAGGTCCCAGAGGGACATGTGAACATTCTATTCGCACAAGCTCCAAGCACGGCTTCGGCAAAAACTGTCGAGGCAAATCCTGGCCGGCTTGAAGCTAAAACTGGAGCCAGTGTCACCTTGCATGCCACCTTGCATCCTTGGCTTGCTTGTCCAGGGTCTACGTTGGCGGTTCCGAAAACCCGTCTGTCGGGTATTTGCGTGGCGCACCGACTTCGTGACATTCGTAGCCCTGTGGTTCGAGCGCCCTGGAGTCGCGTGCGCCGCTGGAAGGCCCACCACGCCCCGTGCCGTCGTACTCCCTAAGGCTTCAGATGGCTTTGCAACTGAGCCAAGGCATCCAGCACCAGCAAGGCGTTCGGGAAGACACCCTGGCGCGCTGCGCGGCCAATTTCGGGGCCCCGGAGGAGTTCGCGAAATGGTGCGACGACCAGGGGCTCAAGACCTGCGAGGACTTCGCCAGCGTAACCTCCGACGAGGCCAAGGTCGAGGAGAAGCTCGCGGACGCCTCCGGGGGGAATTTCGCAAATTCGGGGCAGAAGGTCTCCGTCGCGAAGCTCTGGTTATATTGCCGCGCCCGCCTGGAAAGGGAGGCGGGCATTCGCTCGGGCCGCATTGCCCAGCGGCCAGATTGCACCTTGGACGACGCGGAAGCGCGGGACATCTCCGATGAGTGGAACAGGCGCCATAATTTCAAGGTGGGGTTGCGCCGGCTCTTGTCCGACGTGTCGCTTACGAAGCGCTACAGGGAGCTCAACTCCAAAACTCGGTTTCAGTTTGTTGCTCCCAGAGCAGGTGCGCGCGGCCGGCTCGCTCGAGCGCAAGGGCCGACTGTCCGTTGCGCTTGAGCCTGGTCACGTGCTGGTTGCGGAGATCACGGAGGTTGGGGCGGTTTCGGGCCACTGCGACCTATGGGTCAGGATCCGGGCGGACTGGGCCACGATGTCCATCGTCACCGTCCACGACCAGTCTTTTCTGCCGTGCGAGCAGACGGACCGTTGGCTTGACAAGCTCTTGGGCTACTTCTTCCAGAAGTTCCACGGCGTGCCAGCCCCCGTCGACTTCTACCGCAACGCCTACTGCAAGTTCTTTCAGGGCGTCCAGGAACACGCGCAGAGCTACCGGCGCAACATGGTCGACTACCCCAACAACACCTCCAGCTGGCAGCACCTCTTCACCGTCTACACCCCGATCGAGGCTGGGGGCCGCAGCGCCGCGCCGCAGCCCGGGGCAGCGGCAGATCAGTCCCAGAACCTGCAGAACGAGAATGAGCGCTTCAAACAGGCCTTCAAAAACCAGTAGTCGAAGTACGACAAGAGGATCGCGGACCTGCAGGCCGACCGCGGTGCTGCGGGCGGCGGAGGCTCTTCCGGCCACCTGCAGCAGCGGGGCGGCAAGGGCGGCCCCGGCGGCAAGGGCGGGGGCATGAAAGGAGAGCACGGCGGCGGCAAACGGCGCCGCCATTGACTAGGGCCAGCGCAGTGTCCACAAGGACCCTCGCGCCTAGCATCGCTCAGAGACGAGGTCCTGGGTCCGCGGTCGCCCCTTTGGGAGGCCCAACCTGATCTGGCTCCTTGTCCTCGCGGCCACTTGGCCCTCTGAGCGGCAGCAGGTGCGGGCAGCGGCTGGCCGGGTTCGAGACCCGGCCTTGGCCTCCGAATTCATCGGCACCTTGCCTTTCGCAGCGCCGACAGTCCAGCATGTGCCTGACGCCGCCCTGCCCGCTCCCATCGATTTAGTTTTCATCGGCCTCCCATCGTCTTCCTCGATGCCGCGGCCGTCGCCGTGGGCGTGTCCAGCGCCATTCTTCGGTCTACCACGGCGCCGCCGCGCTGCTTGGGCCTGCCGGTATTGCGAGCTGAGCGCGGGCAGCCAATGCTGGCTCCGGCCCCTCAGTGGAAAAATATTGTTGTGTACCTGTCGCAACTCTTTCCCGGCTTCTGAACCGTGCCCAGCGGCCATATTCAGGGACCTGATCTGCAGGAACATCGAGGCCGTTCGGAGCAGCTCGGTGGGGCCGCCACAGGCACCCCCGGAATGGCGGAGCTTCCAGGCCGAACCATGCGTGCCTGTGGGGCAAGTACTGCGCCAAGCTGGACACCGCCCGTCGGCCAACCGCCCAGTTTCCTCGGTGGCTGCGACGACGGCGGCGGGGCTGCAACCGACCGGGCAGGCAATGCCGCAGCTCCTTCCTGATGGGTTGCTTCCGCGGGGCCACCTCGTCGCGGCGCTTCGCACTCCCCACTGCTTCGCGCGCCTTGTGGGCGTCCCGGGCTACGGCGCGTTAGCCCTCCGCGCGCGTGCGCGGTGAGCGTCGCGGGTCAGTGATCGGCGAGGCCTCGTGACCGAGGCCATCGAGCACCTGGCGGTCGCCCTGGCGGGGGAGGAGGAGCAACTTCTCTCGAGGGTGCACGTTTGGCTGCGACCTCTAGTCGGCGCCCGCCGCATCTGCCTCGTGAGGGAATTGTCATTCTTGGCGCAGCCTCCAGACTTCGCCTTCCTTGCCGACTACATGCTGGGCATGCCCAAATTCGGCTGGGCCTGCCATGCCCCTGGCATGGAACCGCGTCTGAACCCGCCGGAGTACGAAGTCGATCACCTACTGCAGGGCCGCAGCGAGCACAATGGCCTCATCGTCGCCGCGCTCGGCCCCGCTGGCGACGACGACCTCGACGAGCGCTCGTGGCAGAAGTCCAAGGAAGAGTTCGTGGGAGGCGCTCTCATAGGCCCATTTGTGGACACTGCCCAGGTGGACCTACCCGTCCGGTTGGCGCAGCGTTTCCCTACTTGGGAGCTGCGATCTGCGTCTGCGGAGTGGAAGGTGCGCAGCGTCGACAACTTTTTCACTGGCGGGCAGAATGGGCGCGCCGGGGCGCAGTGCACTCACGTCCCAGCCACCATCGACACGTTTGCCTCAGTCGCCCGCGCCACAGCGGAGGCCTTCCTGGAGCGTTCCCTGGTGGGCTTCCCCAGCGACTTCACAGCAGCATTTCGGCAGTGCACGGCCGACCCTGCCCAGGCCCACTTGTGCGCGGTGGCTTGCTGGGACACCGATTTGCAGCGGGCCGTCTTCGGCCTGGCCGTGGCGCAGCTTTTCGGGGGCAAGAGCGCCGGTTTGAATTTCTGCAGGATTCCGGCGTGGTGCGCACGCGTCACAGCATACCTCTACGCCATCTATTTCGTGCACTGCGTCGACGACGTGCTCGCTGCGGAGGCCGCAGACACGACGCATTCTGCGCGCGCCTCGTGGCGCAAGTTCGCCGACGTGTGCGGGTGGCTGGTCGAGAACGCAAAGAGCCCGCCGCCGGCGCCGGCTTTCGCTGCTATTGGCGCCTACTTTGACCTCGCCCCGCTGCCGCGGCACCCCGCAATGATTCGCATCGCGCAGGAGCGCTGTGAACGCCTACGTGACGAACATCAGGGTATTTTGGGCGCCAGAGGCCTTCACCCCGGTCACGCCGCGCGCTTGGTCGGCCGTTTGGGCTTCGCCTCCATTCAGCTGTATGGCCGCGTTGGGCGTGCTATGGTGCGGGCGCTCCGGCGACGGCAGTACGAGTGCCGTCGATTCGGTTTCAATCCACATATGCGAGCTGCCATTCTTTGGTGGCTGGATCTCCTGGAGCACGTTTCGCCAAAGGACATTCCGCACTGTTTGCAGGCCCGCCACACCATCGTTTCTTTCTCGGACGGTGAGGGTGCAGGCGCGGGAATTGGCATTGCTGTCTGGGACAGTCGGGGCGGCGCCCCTATTGCTGGCTACACCCATTTCCCGCGGGATGTCCGGCGGCGTTGGCAGCAGGCGCGCCAACAGGAGGAACGCGACGGTGTCTTCAGCATCGTGAGCCAGCACTCCAGGTCGGAGCACCAGGTCGAGAATATCATCTTCAACGACATCTACGAGATCGAGTCTTCCTGATCGGCTTCGCGGGTCCCTCTCGATCGGCTTCGCGGGTCCCTCTCGATCCATTTCATTGACAACGCTGCCGGCCTGGCCAGCCTTGTCAAAGTGTCCTCTTCGGTCTTGTCTGGTGACAGGATCGCGGGATGGACGTGGAACCGCATCTGGGACTTGGAGGTATTGCCACGGTTCGACCGGGTCGAATCGGCCAGTAATCCGGTGGACGGCATGTCTCGTAGGGACATGGCCGGCCCCTGGGTCTGGGTTCTGGTGTCGTACTCTGGTCAGGTCCTCAGAGGTTGATGCATTAATCTGGGGACGGCGGGGCGCGAGCGGATGGCAGGAACCATTCTGCACATTCGCACCGCCCCGCGGGTCGGATCATCCAGCAATGTTAACCTTGACCCCATCCGCCCTCGGCCGAGAGGGGCAGACATTCGAGATGATGGTGACTGCGATCAATGACATCGGCATCGTCATTGTCCATCACCTCCCTTCCTTCCTCTCCTGCCCCTGTGTCCTTTCCTCCTTTCCCGCCCTCGCACTTTGCCCATCACACGAAAAGTGGTTGTATAGGTAATTACTATTCTTGATGCGGCCCTCCTAAGGAACGGCTGACACCAGCGCGCTGTCGGACACTCACGAGTTCTGGGCCGTCTTCCTGCTCGTGAGCTTCTACTTCGTTTTCAACTTCGGGTGCGTTCGTGTGCAAGAGGGGGAAGGGATTTGGGGAGCCGGCAGGACAAGGGGGCGGGAGGCGGGAGGCAGGAGGAGGCAGGAGGCAGGAGGCAGGAGGACGCAGGCGGCAGGCGGGAAGCAGGAGGGGACGAACACCAGGGTTTGTTGCATCTCTCTACCCTCTGGAGACCTTGTGAGGTGTCCCAATCCGTCCGACGGGGGCACCATCGCCTTTGGAGACCCTTGGGGGCCTTGGAGACCTCTAGAGATGATACTGGTAAGGATGATGTCGTTGATGCTTGAAAGGGCGATGGTGTCGATTATGATCATGATGCAGATGTGGGTCAAGCAGGATGAGGGTGATAATGGTGATGATGATGAAGATGGCGATGCCGATTATGTCGATGATTCCGATTGTGATGACGATGCTGGTGGTGATGATGAACATGCTGATGGTGGTGATGATGCTGATGGTGCTGATGACGCTTATGACGATGCACGGTGATGATGGTGGCGGCGGTGATGATGATGATGATGATGATGATGATGATGATGATGATGATGAGGATGATGATGATGGTTATGATGACGACGATGATGACGATGATGATGACGGTGATGATGATGACGCTGATGTTGATGAGGAACATGATTATGCGGGTGATGCTTCTGATAATGATGATGATGATGATGATGATGATGATGATAATGATGATGGTGACGAAGATGGTAGTGGTGGTGATGGTCAGGATGACAAGGTCACTGACGATGATGAGGCTGGTGATGATGTTGGCGGGCATATTGACGATAACGACCGTTCTTACGATGAACATTCAGATGACGGTGACGACGATGATGATGATGATGATGATGATGATGATGATGATGATGATGATGATGATGCTGGTTATGATGGCGATGATGGTGATGGTTAGGATTATCATGAGTATGGTGAGGATGATGATGATGATGATGATGATGATGATGATGATGATGATGATGGTTATGATGCTGATGATGCTGATGATGCTGTTGATGATACTGCTGCTGATGATGATGATCTCTTATTTTTATGATTACTGTTTCATTGTTATCATTACTTTTTAGTGCTGGCATTGTTTATTTCTAATTTTACTGTCATTGTTCGGACGATGAAGATTATGGTGACGATGCTGATCATGATGATGCTGATGATGATGATGATGATGCTGATGATGTTGATGCTGCTGCTGATGATGCTGATGCAGATGCTGCTGCTGCTGCTGCTTCTGATGATGATGATGATGATGATGATGATGATGATGATTTCGGCGATGATGATTCTGTTGACGAGTACGACGATCATGTTTTAGGTTGTTAAAGGATGGTGATGGCGGCGTCGAATCTGATCATGATCGTAATGAACATTTTCTGGTTAGGGCGGTGGTCAGGCTAGTGATGATGCCACTTATAATGAGGATGATCATGCTTATGACGATGTTGATGGACATATTGATGACGACGATGAGGATGCCACTCAGATGACGGTGATGGTTGCGGAAGCTATGGTAATGTTGCCTATGACGACGGCGGTGATGACGACGATGAGGATGACGATGACGGTGTCGACGATGACGACGACGACGCCGGTGACGACGGTAACGACGGCGGCGGCGACGGCTTCGGCTACTGCGACGGCGACGGCGACGATGGCGGCGGCGATGACTCTCACGACGACAATAATGGTGATGCTGATGATCAGGATGATGGTTGTTGTGGTGGTGGTGGTGGTGGTCGTGGTGGTGCTGGCGGTGATGGTGATGGTGGTGATGGTGATGATGGTGATTCGCATCACTGCTATTCTGATGGTGATGATGATGACGATGGCGCTGACGACGATGATGCTGCTGATGAAGGGTGAGCATGATGATGCTGATGATGATGATGATGATGATGATGATGATGTTGGTGGTGGTGGTGGCAATGATGGTGATGGCTGTTTTGGTGACGATAGTGATGATCGTTCTGACCACTATGATGACGATGACCATGAAGATGACGATCATGATGACAGTGACATCAACGACAACGGCGATGATGGTGATGCTTATGATGCTGATGATGAGGGTCGTGGTTGTAGAATCTTTGTGGTGGTGCTTATGATCATAGTGATGATGATGCTGCTGCTGATGACGACGACGACGATGAGGATGATGAGTATGCTGATGATGATAATGATGATGGTGGTGATGATGCTGCTGTTGATGGTGATGATGATGGTGGTGGTGGTGGCCGTGGTGGTGGTGGCGGTAATGGTGATGGTGGTGTTGGTGATGTTGATAATGATGATGACGATTCTGTTTTTGATGACGATGACGATGACGACGATACTTTTGCTGATGATGGTGACGGTGATGGTGATGATGATGATGATGATGATGATGATGATGAAGGTGGTGGTCGTGTTGGTAGTGGCGGTGATGGTGATGATAGTGATGCATTGTGCCCATCATGATGACGATGACGATGACGATGGCGATGACGATGGCAACAACGGCGACGTTGACGATGCCGACGATGATAATGATGGTGATGCTGACGATGCTGATGATGCTGATGATGATGGTCGTGGTTGTACAATCTGTGCAATGATGGTGATGGTGATGGTGATGCTGATGATGCTGCTGCTGATGACGACGACAACGATGATGATGCTGCTGTTGATGATGCTGATTCTGACGACGATGCCGATGATTATGATGGTGATACTGCTGTTGATGCTGATAATGGTGGTGGTGATGATGATGACGATTGTTAGGGGGTTGATGATGATGAGGATGATGGTGCTTCTGATGATGCTGTTGTCGATGGCAATGATGGCGATGCTGCTGCTGATGATGCTGATGCCGAATCTGAAAATGATGATGACGCTGATGATGGCGATGCTGATTCCTATGATGCTGATGATGAGGATGATGCTGATACTTATTATGAGGATGCTGCTGATCATGATGATAATCAACATGTGGATGCTTATGCCGATGATGATGGTGCTGATGGTGCTGATGGTGATGGTGATGGTGATGGTGATGGTGATGCTGCTGTTGATGGTGGTGATGATGTTGATGATGAGGATGCTGCTGCTGATGATGATGATGAGGAGGAGGATGACGAGGAGGAGTTGGAGTCGTTGTTGCAGGAGGAGGAAGGCCAGGAGGAGGAAGACCAGGAGGAGGATGAGGAGGATGAGGAGGATGAGGAGGAGGATGATGAGGAGGAGGAGGAGGAGCAGGAGGAGTGGAGGAGGAGGAGGAGGAGGAGGACCAGGAGAAGGAGGAGAAGGATGAGGAAGAGGAGTAGGACGAGGCAGGAGGATGACGAGGGAGGTGAGGGAGGGAGGCTTGAAATGAGGGGGGAAGGGAGGGAAGCCTGGTGGAATGGAGGGAGGGGGAGACATGGATGGCTGGAGGGGATGAGCGGAGGGACACCATCATCAGCATCACCATCACCACCAGCATCACCATCACGTCACCGTCGCCATCACCATCATCATCGCCATCACCATCATCATCGCCATCACCATCATAACCATCACCATCACCATCACCAGCATCATCGTCATCACCATCATCATCAGTATAATCCTGATCCCCAACACCATCATCACCATCGCCATCGCCATCGTGCTTATCCTCATCATCGTCAGCACCATAATCATCAGCAACATCATGCTGATCGACATTACCATCATTATACTTATCATGGGTACTGCTAATACGTTTCATCACTATCATCTTCATCACCATTACTTTCAGCATGCTAGTCTCATGTTTTTGGTCATTGCCATTCTTGCTACTTTTTTATATATATATTGTTGTGTATTCTCACAGGTATTCGTGTTATCTGTTATCATTATTGACATTCGTATTAATCTTATTATGCTTGTTATTAACAATTTCATTATATCATCCATTTTCATAACCACTTCTATTAATCATGTCCATTGTTATCGACCATTGACTACTTCCACTTCTATTAACCAGTTTCATTCGTATTAACCATCATCATCACCGCCATCACCATCGTCGTCGCCACCACCACCTTCGTGGTCACCATCGTCACGTCGTCATCACCAGCATCAGCACTCGCATCAGCATTAACATCAGCATCATTATCATCATCATCATCAGCATCAGCATCAGCATCAGCATCAGCATCAGCATCAGCTCGCATCAGCATTAGCATCAGCATCATCAGCATCGTCGTCGCCGTCGTCGTCCTCTTCGTCGTTGTCTTTGTGTCTGCCGCCTTGGTCGTGGTCGTGGTCGTGGTCGTGGTCGTGACCGTGGTCGTGACCATGGTCGTCGCCGTCGCCGTCGTGGATGTTGTCGTGTCGCCGTCGTCGTCGTCGTCGTCGTCGTCGTCGTTGTCGTCATCGTCGTCGTCGTGCGGTGGTGGTGGTCGTCGTCATCGCCATCGGTGGCGTTCGAATGTTTTTCCTGATGCTGCTGGTGGGGAGGGTCCTCTGGAGCAGTGGTGGTCCTCTCCCTAGGGACCCCTCGCGCCCTTGTGCCCTCGGGGCCTCCAAACGGTGCGGTAACCACATCGCGTGGTGAGCCAGTGCAGGGGGATTTTGGATGGCCGCACGGACCTGAAACTCGGGTGGTTCTCCGAGAACGTCTCTGGCAACCAGGGTTTCCAAGGTCTCAAAATCGTCCGGTGACGGACCGTGCGGTGAGGTCTTTTGGGATTCCGATGTCACCGCACAGTCTTTCATACCACCGTTTCGGGCCCCCCAGGACGCACGGTTTTGTCTCTCTCCCCCTCCCCCCTTGGCAGGCTGCTGAACATGTTCGTGATGGCCGTGGTGGAGGCCTACTACGTCGTTCATCTGACGCAGGGCGGCCCTGGGGAGAAGTGGTCCACGAAGAGGTGGAAGCAGTGGGTGCCCGCGGGCAGTGCGAGGGGAGGGAGTGAGAAGAGGAGGATGAGGAGGTTGGGGGGAAGGAGGAATAATAATACTAATAATACTAATACTAATACTAATACTAATACTAATACTTATAATAGTAATAATAATAATAGTAGTAATAATAATATGATTATTATTACTAATATTATTAATGATAACAATAATAATGATACTACTACTACTACTACCACTACTACTACTACTACTACTACTACTACTACTACTACTACTACTACTACTACTACTACTACTGCTGCTGCTAGTACTACTACTACTGCTACTACTACTACTACTAATAATCATACTAATAATAATAATATTAATAATAATAATAATAATAATAATAATAATAATAATATTATTGATAATAATAATAAGAATAACACTGTTAATACTACTACGAATCATAATAATAAGAATCATAATAATAATAATAAGAAAATAAGAATAATAATCGCAATAAGAAGACTAGGAGGACGAGGATGATGCGGAGGAACATGAATGTGCAGTTGGACGGTAATAAAAGGGGGAAAGGAGGAGGGGCAGAGGGAAGAAGGAGGAGGAGGAGGAGGAGGAGGAAGAAGAGTAGGAGGAGCAGGAGAAGGAGGAGGAGGAGAGGAGGAGGAGGAAGGAGGAGGAAGAGGCGGAGGAGGAGCGGAGAAGAAGGAGGAGGAGGAGGAGGAGGAGGAGGAGGAGGAGGAGGAGGAGGAGGAGGAGGAGAGTCCAAGGACCAGCCGCCAGTCTCCTCGCCGCACAGGCGCGCACCACGACACGCTTACGAATGGCCCCGGGGCGATGGCGCGCTCGCCTCCCGCGGGCTTGGGCAGCAGGACCGCCACCGCGACCAGGAGCTGCTGCCGCCGCGCGCGTTCTCGGAGCGCCACGCGCCGACCCCCTCGAGGACCCCGTCCTGCGAGGCACGGCGGGCAGCCCGCCGAGGTCCACCAGGAGGCCCAGACGGGCGGCCCCTCGCCCCGCCCCGACGGGACGCGGCCCTCGGGGGCCGCGCCCGCGGTGGAGCCCGGGTGCGCTGTGGCCGGCGTGACGGGGGCGCAGTCGGAGAGCGGAGGGGCCTGGTCGTGCCACGGTTCGCGCCGGCGCCGCCTGGGGATGCTTTCGAATGGCGACTCCCAGACGGAGGAGGAGGAGGAGGAGGAGGAGGAGGAGGAGGAGGAGGAGGAGGAGGAGGAGGAGGAGGAGGAGGAGGAGGAGGAGGAGGAGGAGGAGGAGCCGACTCGTGACGCGACCAGGGCAGGGGGGGAGGGGGGGCCGGGGTGGGCCACGGGCGTGGCCGCGCTGCATGCAGAAGTGGGCGCGTGCACCGCTCGCTCGCGGATGCTGCCCAGCACCCAGAGCATCCCCTCGCGCTCGTCGCCGAGAGCTGGGGCGGAGGCCCGCCTCCGCTGCCAGGCGAGCCCGCTCGGCCGACGCGGGGCGTGGCCGCGGCGGCCGCCTCGGGGGGGCTCCGCCCGTGCCCCGCACCGCCCCGTGGTGGGGGCGGCCGCCCGCTGGCCCAGCTGTGTGTCTTCCCCGCGCCCCTCGTGGCGGCCTGCACGGCCCCGGCGTGGAGGCCCTTCGGCGCGGCGCTGGCGGCGGAACGCTGCGCCCCCCCGCGAGAGGGAGGATGAGCAATCACGTGTTTTCTCAGGGTCAGTCTTTTTCAGAGGGTTCATCTTTGTAAAAAGATGATTCGTAATACTTCCCCACATCCTCAGTGGGGTCCTTGTTTTCTCAGGACGCCCTGCGCAGTACTTCTCCTCCTCCCCCTCTCCTCTTCTCTCTTCGAACAATCACTCACTCAATCACTCACACACCATCATCATAACAGCATCAGCCTCCTCATCACCACTCACAAAGCCATAATCATTCACCCAAGCACTCACACCATCATTATCATTATCATCATCATCAGTCATTCGTCGTCGTCGTCAGCATCATCACCACCATCATCATCGTCATCATCATGATCCTCCCCAGTATCATCATCATCAGCATCATCATCAACATGACTTTCATCACCATCACCATCATCAGCATTATCATCAACACCACCATCATTATTATCATCGTCGTCATTCTCATCATCTCATCCTCGTCATCATCAGCATCACCATCACCATCATCATCAGCAGCATCATCATCAGCATCATCATCGTCATCGTCATCTTCGCACGCACACGCATACGTTTATCTTAAGAAAGTCTGGAACGGGAGCCCCGTCTCTGAGTGAATTGCGAGGAAGTCTCAGGCGGGAATACCTCTCCCTATGGGGCCCGCAGATCATTTTACTAATCCAAGCTGGTCATCCGAATCTTGTAACTGTCGTCACTTTCGGGCCCTGAGCCTGGAGGAGGTGTCGTGCGGGAGCCCCGTCTGTGAGTGAATTGCGAATCCTGTTCGTCACTTGCGGGCCCAGAGCCTTGGATCTGGAGGAAGTCTCGTGCGGGAGCCGCGTCCGTGAGTGAGATGCGAGGAAGTCTCAGGCGGGAGCACCCTCCCTAGATTCGGCACCTCGTGTTTTCAATCCGAGCGGGTCATCGGAATCCTTCAATGCGAGGAAGTCTTAGGCGGGAGCCCCCTCCCGAGGGGGCCACACTTATGTCGGAGGAAGCTTTAACCGGGAGCTTTCGCGGGGGCCTCGTGAAAGTAGCATTCGCTGCGATCACGAGAACGACGATGAGGGTAGTTTCCAGATGAGCCGAGAGGGTTCTCACCTCCTCCTCCTCCTCCTCCTCCTCCTCCTCCTCCTCCTCCTCCTCCTCCTCCTCCTCCTCCTCCTCCCCCTCCTCCCCCCGTGCCAGGGTGCCAGGGGCCCAGGGCCCGGGCCGGGGCACCCTCCCAGGTTCCCCCCCCCTCTCTTTGGCCACGATCTTTTGGGCCCCCATGGGGGGCCTCCTGGGCGTTTGCCCCGCCGCTCGACAAGCTCCAGAGGCCACCACAAAGCGACCAGAGCGCCCTGACAGGACCTGAGACGCCAGACCGTTGTCTTCAGACGGTAGAGGCCCCGAGGACGTCATAAGAAGGCTCCAAGATGCGCCCCCAGAGGGCCCCCAGGAGGCCCGACGTGTTCGATTTCCGGAAGAACATGTTTATTCTTGGCATGTTCGCGCTCTGGGTCTTTACAGTGTCCTAAACGGCCCAAGAGGCCCCAAAGATCGCCACAAGACGGCCCAAGAGGCCCACGTCGGCCCAGGAGGGATTCGAGAGGGGGAAATCCATCTGACGTTTCTTGCCCTCCGCTCCCAGTGGGCCCCCGGGCCGCCAGCAGGCCCTCAAGAGGCCCCCACGGGCCCCAGAAGAGGCCCCCAAAGTGTTCCTAAGCGGCCCCCAAGAGGCCCCTAAGAAGCTTCAACTCCGCGCCGCGAGGCGTCCGAGAAGCATGACAACAGACCTCTAGTTACAGGTATCCAAGAATCCTCTGGCCCAAATCTCAGGCACAGTAGCGGTTTGGGCCGGAGGTCATAGATACGCAAGCATCTGGCTTGGCGACGGAGCCATCCTCATGCAGTCAAGTACAGCGCAGGGCGCGGGCCTCTCTTCCTACGCTGCACGCCGCGGGGCAATGCGGAAGGCGGGCTGCTGCGGAGCACGCGTGCATTGTTGCGCGGATCCGCGTGAAGGGTGCTCCGAACAACTCGGATGCCCCCGCGCGAGCACTCCCACCTGAGGCCGCGCGTGGACCTCCTCCCTGCACGACCCGTGCGAGGCATGTGCCGAACTGGGCGGGGGGACGCCATTCGAGGCTGCACAGTGGTGCCGTAGGTGGAGCTCCTTCCAGAGCGTGACTCGCGTGACGGGTGTGCCGCCATGGGCGGGGGGGCGCTGTGCGAGCCTCGTCTTTGGGCCTTCAGGTGGTGGTCGTTGTGCGACGATCCGCGTGGTCGGGTGTGCCGCAACAGGCGGGGGCGCGCAATGCGAGCCCTGCCTCTGGGGCCGTAGGTGGCGATACCTGCGGGCCACGATCTGTGCGAGAGGTGTGCCGAAGTAGGCGCAGGGGGGGGGGCTTCATGCGAACCTTGCATCTGGGAGCGTCTGTGGAACTCATCTCTGCGGGCGACGATCCGTGTGAGAGGCGTGCCGAAGTAAGCCGGGCGATGCTCTGAAGCTTCTCTCTGGTGCTTGTCTCTGGGAACGTAGGTGGAGATCCCTGTGGGGCGCGATCCCTCTGAGGGGTGTGCCGGCATGGGCGGGGGGACGCTGAGCCAAGCGTGCATCTGGGGCCGTCGGTGGAGCTCCCTGGGGCACGATCCGTGTGACACCATATGTCCTCCGAAGCCGAACACTTCTGATTATGACCAGAACTGGCTAGAACCTTTGCGCGCGCGAAGCGCGCGGGTGGCTCTAGTTACAAATGAAGTGAAGTGGTCGGTTGGTTGGGTGGCCGGGTGGTCGGTTGCCTGGTTGCCCGGTTGGTTCGTTGGGTTGGTCGGTTCGTCAGTCGGTTGCCCGGTTGGTTGGTTGGTTGGATGGTTTGTCGGTTGGTTGTTCGGTAGGTTGGTTGGGGTCGGTTGGTTGTCTGGTCGGTTGGTTGGTCGGCTTGTCCGTTGGCTGGGGGGTTGGTTGCGTTTTGTTGGTTGGTCAGTTGGTTGGTTAGCCAGTAGGTTTATTGGCCGGCTGGTCGTGCGGATGTTAACGCGACGTAGGCGCGGCACGGCCCGACATGGTTTGGCTGATTGACCGGATTTCCTGGTTGCCTGGTGGACTATTTGGTCGGTTGGTTGGATGGGCGGTTGGTTGGTTGGTTGGCCTATTCTACTCTACTCCTCGCATGGCAAAGTGGAAATACATAGTTTTCATTGTACTCGTTACGCGGCATCGCCTGGGAGGGGGGCGGGAACATATCATTCTATTGCATTCGCCACCTGGCAACGCAGCGGGGTGGATTTCTTATTCGCCCTGTGGCAACCCATCGGGGGCGACAAAAGCACGATACTATTCTACCGCCACGTGGCAACGCAGCTGGGCAGAAAATA